ACTCTTCTAACATCACTGTAAACACAGACACGTTGGCTCCTGGACTGCATAGTCGTCCCGTCTGAGAGTTCTGCCCTGCGGTGTTAATCATCATGTGTTCATTTTTCCTCCACTGCATTAACTTATCAGGGTTTTCATTTGTAAAGTCATACAACCTCTGGCTGTGCGGTTGTTTGGGGAAAAAAGACTCTCATCCTCCTGACACAGTTAATTTAAGGGTGCATAGAATGCCAGTAGATACAGTTTCTGGAAGACGTCTTGATCTGTTAACAGAGTTATGACTCATTTCTTCCTTTGCTCATGCTGAGGGTAAGCAAAAATGTTTCCTCGAGGCTTTCGTGACCTTTCTCCCGTTCCTTCCCCCCTGTGTGTGTGCAGGTTAAGCGGTCGCTGTGCCCCCTTTGAATGTCCGTCACTATGGCTAAGCGTGAGACCGGCAGCACCAGCCCTGTGGTCAGGCAGATAGACAAGCAGTTCCTGGTCTGCAGCATTTGTTTGGACCATTATCACAACCCCAAGGTCCTGCCCTGCCTGCACACCTTCTGTGAGAAGTAAGCTCTGATCCAATCAATCAAACTTCCTTTGTACAGCTGCTTTCATTCAACGCAGTTCAAAGTTAAATAGTGCTGTAAGATTAATATGGCAGTAGAAAGATAAACAGTAGCACAATGGGACATAAAGAGAAACACACATAATGAAAATCTAACAACAGTGGTAAAACATTTTAAAGAAAAATTCAAAGATGAGACAGATTTTAGCACGAGATGCACAATAATATTTATTCTTTAGATATTTTGCATAATCCAGAATAAGAGAACATTAGAAAATATGTTTGTATTTTTGTCATATTCCCTCTGCCTGCAGTAAGTTATTTAAGTGGGATGCTGTGTAATGTGTAATGACCCAAAATCACACCACTTCTACCAAATATTCTCTCATCTTTATGGCTTCTGCATGATGTGAGGCACCAATCACTCAGCTTGGCCACAATATAACAGACAAGAACAGCTTTGTTGGCAGCAAGCCCTGATTTCCACAGCTTTGTTGCTCCCACATGGGACAGATTACAGTTATTTCAATAATGTGGTGCTCTCTGTTGTGCCCAGCCAAAACTGTTAGGACGAGAATCTTATTGTCTCCTGAGCAAGTCTAAAAAACATCTTGCTTTTTTACACCATGTTGACCCTGGAACAGGTGCTGAATTGCCGCTTTAGTCCTCTAATTAATGTCTTTAACGGCTTGTCTCTCCGTAGATGCCTACAGAACTACATCCCTCCCCAGTCTTTGACGCTGTCCTGTCCAGTATGCAGACAGACCTCTATCTTGCCAGAGAAGGGTGTGGCAGCCCTGCAGAACAATTTCTTCATCACAAACCTAATGGAGGTGTTACAGCGAGACCCAGAGTGCAGCCGACCTGAGGCCTGTAATGTTCTTGAGTCCGCCAGTGCAGCTACAGCCTGTCAGCCCCTCTCATGCCCCAACCATGAGGGCAAGGTAAGCAAACGAATGGGCCGGGGGTGTTATATAGTAGGTCAGATATGTCAGAAATTATTGTCAGAAGTTCATGACAACACTGTGGACTGTTACATGTGATCTGTATATGATTTTTTTTTACAAGTGTTTGAATTCTTAAGCATATTTGCCAGTAGAAATATAGGATGTTCAGTTGTCTTGTGCTCCACTGCACCACCTGCAGGTGATGGAGTTTTACTGCGAGTCATGTGAAACCGCCATGTGTCTGGAGTGTACAGAAGGAGAACACAGGGAACATGTGACTGTTCCTCTGAGGGATGTGCTGGAACAGCACAAGTCAGCGCTAAAGAATCAGCTGGATGCTGTGCGCAACAGGTTGGATTTTCAGTGCTTCGATCCATAATGAACTATGTGAAGTTTAAAAAATGCTAATTTGAAAGTTTTATTGTGTGTTCATCAACTTTGCTTTCGTCTGGCAGACTACCTCAGCTGACGGCTGCCATTGAGCTTGTGAACGAGATCTCCAAGCAGCTTACAGAGCGGAAAAATGAGGCAGTGACTGAAATCAGTAACACTTTTGACGAGCTGGAGAAGGCCTTACACCAACGCAAGACCGCTCTTATCACTGAGGTGGAAAACATCTGCAGCACTAAGCAGAAGGTCTGAGGTCTTTCTGTTTTTGTTTGTTTTAGTAATGTTGCACGTTTTAGTACAAGCGCCACTGACTGTCTGCCTCTGTCTCTTTGGACATTCTTAGGTGCTTCAAGCCCAGCTGACCTCTTTGCTTCAGGGCAAAGAGAACATTCAGAGCAGCTGTAACTTCACAGAGCAGGCCCTGAGCCATGGCAGCGCCACTGAGGTCCTATTGGTCCAGAAGCAGATGGGTGAGCGGGTCAGTGCCCTGGCGCGACACACCTTTCCCGAGCAACCCCATGAAAATGGACATCTGGAATGCCAGGTAGAGACGGACGGACTGAGGCGGTCCATTCAGAACCTGGGAGTCCTGATCACAACAGGGACTGTCGGCCATACTAGCGTTGCCACCGGCGAAGGTCTGCGCCATGCACTGGTCGGCCAGCACACCACTGTCACAGTCACTACTAAAGACAAGGATGGAGAACTAGTGAAGACGGGTAATGCTGCTCTGAGGGCAGAGATTATCTCTGCAGATGCAGTGTGCACTGAAGCTGAGGTGGCGGACAACAAGAACGGAACCTATGAGGTCGGATACACCATCCGCTCAGAGGGAGAATTCACCTTCTCTTTGCTGCTGTACGAGCAACCTGTGAGGGGGAGTCCGTTCCGCTTGCGTGCCGTCAAGCCGTCAGACGTCCTGCAGTCACCAGACGACGTGAAGAGAAGAGTGAAGTCTCCGAGTGGAGGAGGAGGTCATGTTAGACAGAAGGCTGTGCGCAGACCCTCCAGCATGTACAGCACCACCAAGAAAAAGGAAAACCCAATAGAGGATGAGCTGATCTACAGAGTGGGTGGGTGAATAACTGGCTAGAGCCGCTGTTAATTCTGGTAACTGCTGACTGTATGATGTTTTTCGCTAGAGCGCACACTGAGTCATATCGCTGGATAATTTGAGTACCTGATGATGCTGAGTATGCAGTGTTAGACCTCTTATGCGGCACACCATTGTTTCCTCTGTCTGTTCAAACTGTTAAAATGGCCGGTAGATGCTAAACATTTTAAGAGATCATCCAAGTGCATTATTTTTACACGCGCATAGTGCTGAAGCAGTCTGATGTCTTGTTGATGTGATAGGAACAAGAGGGCGAGATAAAGGAGAATTCACTAACCTACAAGGCATCTCCACCTCCAGTAATGGACGGATTGTGGTGGCAGACAGCAACAACCAGTGTATACAGGTCAGTGTCATTCTCTTGAGCTGAAATATAAATGTAATGAATTATTTAGTTGTTTCGGTATTGGTGTAAATTAATTTTCTCTTTTTCTTCTAGGTGTTCTCAAATGATGGCCAGTTTAAGATGCGGTTTGGGGTCAGAGGTCGTTCACCAGGGCAGCTGCAGAGGCCCACGGGGGTCACAGTGGACGTGAACGGTGACATAATTGTCGCCGATTACGACAACAGATGGATCAGCATCTTCTCCTCGGATGGCAAGTTCAAGGTGAGCGATCACAGCCAAGAAAAATGTTTTCACCGCACAAATTCCAAATGTTTCTTTGAACGACTAAAGGCTCCCTCTGGTTGTCACAGAGCAAAATCGGAGCCGGGAGATTGATGGGACCCAAAGGTGTGGCTGTGGATAAGAATGGACATATCATCACGGTTGATAATAAGGCCTGCTGTGTCTTCATCTTCCAATCAAACGGGAAGCTGGTGACAAAGTTCGGCGCCAGAGGAACATCAGACAGACACTTTGCAGGTACTGTGGAATACTTAGTCCAGGTAATAATGATCATTTCATTAATAATGTCTCTTACAGGAAGACTGGATACACAATGAATGATGCTTAATGTGTCAGGGCATGAGGTCGGGCCAGATTTACGGATTTCATTTATGTTTCATGCTTTACAGGAATGTTGATTTGTACAAATCTGATTTATTAAGTGATCAGCATGTTTCTATGCACCCTTTATTTAGAGTCTAACTAATGTAAGCATGTATGGCTGCTTGTTTAATTATAGACATCTACGCAGATGTAATGATTAGTTTATTATTGCATTGATCTTGTACTGTAAACATGCAGCCGATCATCATAGTACAAGACACAGCTGTAAAGAGGCAAATGTTAGTTATGCACCCTAATGCATAAAAACGATGTAACGGTTGTCTTCCTGTCTTTGCCTGTCGAAACAAAAAGGTCTGTTCATAGGATTTGCTTGCATTACTGGAATTCCTCATTCATTTAGCTTCAGTTGTTGCACGGACAGCAGTATTTCAGTTGAAACTCACCCATTCTCATTTTAATATCTCACATGGACCTTTTCTTTTCTTTTAGAAAAAAGTGGTGCAAACATTGCACTGGAACAAAAGCTTAGTAAATCTGGCCCTGTTTTCAGTAAGTAATTAATTCCCCGTGAATGTCAACTACGACAATAAATCTATGTTCTTGTTATATGTCGATGCATCAGCTCTGTCGTGTCTCACGTATTGTCCCACGTCAACTCTCAGCGTGCCTTTGTGTCCTTTGTGTCCTGTCGTCCATAAATAGTGTGGAACTTCCTCTCGTGTGTTGTAAAACGGGATGATTCATCCTTCCTCTCTTTCTCTCTCTGTCTCCTCTGCTGCTTCCAGGTCCTCACTTTGTGGCCGTAAATAACAAAAATGAAATTGTGGTAACAGACTTTCATAACCATTCAGTCAAGGTATGGCGTGTTGCAAGTATGAGTGTACATTCTTTATTGTAGTTAACCTGCATTGGAAGTATTGCGGATAAATGGTTTGCAGGAAAAATGTCTGTATTTTAATGAACTTAACTTGCTAAAGCTACAGCAAACCTCTCCGCCAGTTTCTTTACTCCATACTTTTTTTTTTTTTTTTTTTTTTTTTCAAATTCAGTAATCTTTCAAGTTCAGTAATCTAAATGAAGTGCTGGGTTACTTGTAAATAGTCATCCATTTTTTGTTCTACTCTTATTCTTCCACAATAGCGTTGCTAGTGGGATGCATATAAAACAATTGAAATAAACAAGCATGGAATTTATAATCACTCTGTTTCATCAGCTGCTGTGTTGTTTTAGATCATTTTAGCAATGTACCCTTTATCCTGGTTAACATATTTGTATTTTGTGTGACATCAGAATGTCATTTTTCCATTCTCTTCCTTGTTTAATCTCTCTTGCAGGTGTACAATGCAGATGGGGAGTTCCTGTTTAAATTTGGCTCCCATGGAGAGGGGAACGGCCAGTTCAACGCTCCAACAGGCGTCGCTGTGGATGCCAACGGAAATATCATTGTCGCTGATTGGGGCAACAGTCGGATCCAGGTTAGCTTGAGAAAACTACATCACGTTGAATGCAGGGAGCAAACTTTTAAGTACATCACTTAACCTTTCCTCTGTGCTGTGTGACAAACCAGGTGTTCGACAGCTCAGGGTCCTTCCTATCCTACATCAACACATCAGCGGACCCCCTCTACGGCCCTCAGGGTCTGGCCCTCACATCTGATGGTCATGTGGCGGTGGCGGACTCTGGGAACCACTGTTTCAAGGTCTACCGCTACCTGCAGTAGATACCTGAGACAGCCATCTTCGTCACTGCAAGCACTGACAACGACACAACCAATGTTTTCCCCAGGGTGCAATCCAATACAGCCTTTTGATGTGCACATCACATGATCTCCCGGATATAATTAGGTGTCTGATCCTGAGTTTACCCTCCCTATGATGTGTATTGAAGGTTGTTGTAAAGTTGGATAATGTAGCATCCTTGGGACAAGTAATGGACTTAAAGCTATGGACTGGTTTTAGAGAATGTTCAAAATACATTTTTGTGTGTTGTACGCTGTTGATGGTATTATTCAACCACACTTTTTGTGAGACCGGACAGGGTAGGATATAGATTGAAGTATTTAATGAGCCATAACTTGTCCAAATGCATGAAGTTTTATTTAATCTTAATGCCTAGGCAACAACACAGTGTACCCATTGGTTGCTTTTCTCACAAACTAGTTAATGCTTACAGTGAAATGAACGACGCTACGCTTCCCCAGCAATGAAATGTAAAATTTCTCAATTATTGACATCTTGCATAAAAAACATGTCATCACCATCTGTGCATTGATTTGCTGTATGTACTGTATATACATAAATGTATATTGTGTATATTAGATCACTCCGTATGTATGTGCTATGATTTTGAATCACACAGCCTTTTGGCTATTCAGAGAGCAGCAGTTAAGGATTCCAGGATTTTAACGTTAATGTGTGTAAGGCAGCTGTTATAAAGTGTGCTTTTTGAACGTACCAGGCACATGCTTATAAAAGAAGAGTGTCATATTTATTGCTAATGTAAGCAGCACAATAATCCTTTTTGTTAATATATCTGTTGTTTTAAAAAGAAAAAAATTAATTAAGAAAAAAGCTAATTTATTTTATTTTATACACTAGCACAGCATTTACAAATTATTTTTCTAAATTGATGTGCTTTTTTTTTTCTTTAGAGATTCACACTTTATTACTTTCATTTAAAAATAAATTTCACCTTAAAACAGAATTCAGTGCCCCCCCCCCCCCCCACCACCACCACATCAGGAACGGTTTGATCAGTGTTTGTGCACACGAGCAGCTATTTTTCAAAGCCATAAACCCATCTTTGTTTGGGATGTCTTCAAAGAAAAAAAGTTTTCTACGTTTTTCTGTTCAAAAATGAATGGCTAAAGATATGGGATCATAGAGTGATTGTTTTGCCTTTAACAATTAAAGAGCTTTATTCAACAGTTACAAACCGGAAAGACTACATATCTCAGGAAATCCATCCAAATTTGATCAGCATGTCAATGGAACAACTCGATACATTGTTGTTGTTTTTTTTTATAGTGGTAGCTTTTAATGGAGACTTTGTGAGAAAACTGTAAATTTGTGCAAATCAAGTCTAGATCCAAGACCACAAAAATGACCGGGATGGAATATGAATTCTGTTTTAAAGTGTTTTTTTTTCTTTTTGGCTTTAGGAAACAGTTACAAAATATTTAAATGATAGTTTAATAGATGACATTTGATAGCAAACTCATCCCTGCTTTGGAATCCACTCAACTATGGTACTGTTGTAAGCTATCTGACAAAACACTGTTAGATCTGAGTTTCTGCCTGCACGACATCAAGCCATGACCAAGCCCAAGTGAAAAACATGTACCAGTAGAGCTGTTGCCGCTCTTGCTCTCCCTAGTGTTAATTTTGTGTAATGTCATTAGAAAACCTAGTGCCACAGCAGAAGCGAGACCAGGAGCAGGAAAAAGGCAACTTCCTGGTTGGACATAATAACCCACAGCACTGTGCTAAACACCCAAACACCAACATTCACAGGGATTTCCGGCGCTACAGGATATGACCTGATTTCACCAGTTAAACAACCAGGAAGCTTCTGTTTTTCATGCACCTGATCTGTTGTTTGACTGCCAAACAGGAGCCCAGACATCTCTAAAGAGTCAACGGTTCACCTTTTTCAGATGTGTCTGAAGCATTTTACACTACGCTGTGTCACACCAATATACACATTTTGATTTCTCTATGAATATGCACTGGTAATAAAAGCACATGTTTTACTGAGTTGTTGTTTACCTACTAATCATTGTGCTTGACTTGCACTGAGGGGTATTGAATCTGTCTAAATGTGCACATTGAACTTAATCACTGAGTGGTGGTAATGAAATTTAGATTTCATAAACCGGAAATGAATAATGAGAGCAACCTCTGAATAGTTTGTAGTAGCTTAGAGTAAAAGTATGACCATCTCTCCTCAGTAGTCCTTCTGAATTACATCTGGACAGAAAAGGGACTGATGCTCAATTGGATCAATAGGTATATTTATAGTTTTATATACATGGCAATGGTTGCATTTTGAGCATTTTTAGTCAGACTTATTTAAGTACCGGTTGGAGACCAGTAAATATCTGCTATATTTGTTCAAAGGCATTCTCTGCGATACTGTCCAATAACGGCTTCAAGCTAAAAAATGTTTCAACAAAAACATACAATATCTTGAAAAATTATTTATTTGCAGACCACGCTGTGCTTCTGGTCTATGTTACAAATACTTACAGCACATACAGTATGCATTTTTTAACAATAACCATTCCCAAAACATCCAAATGGTATATTTATAGGTAATACATATGTATATACATACATGTGTATAAAAAAAGCTCAAAATGCACCCAAAGTATTAGAGTGGAATAAAAGAACCACATTATTGATACAGTGTCAAACCTAGATAAGCAAGCAAATTGTGCATTGAAAAAAAAAAATCATACTTGGGGTAAACATTTCATGAAGGTATTCATGATATCACAGGTTGCATAGAATTGTTTTCAATTTAAAAAATAAAATTGCAAAAGAAACTGGTAATGACTTTGAAGTAAATGTTACACGATTCATGAGGTAATCAGATTTTATGGCAATCTGTGCATGGATCTGAAAATCAAAAATGTCAAAACTGTTTATCTTATGTGCACAATGTACTGTATATTGAAATCCCAATAACAAACAGTTATATAGTTTAAAAAAGATAGGTTCAACGCAAAAAATAAAAAGGGAGTTGAAATGATTGTGTCAGCACAAAATGACAAGCATTGCAAAATAAATAAATACATTTAAAACTAATGAGTCAGGGAGAAGACAGCAGTTTTGACAATAATTATGTTGATTGAGGCTAAAACATTTCATTCCCTTTAAGTGATATCTGCTAAACTTATTGGACAATATTTCAAGGTTTAAAAAAAAAAGCACAGAACACCTCGTCCTGCTGTGAGAGGACCGTGGAGTCCCAGCTATCTCTACTTAGCTGCTGTTGTTAACTCTTAAAAATGTAGCATACCTATTGTGCCAAGAGGGAAAATAGTTCCTGAAATAGTGTGGAACCTCAGCTATAGTACACTGAACATTGCAGACCAGCTGTCTCGAAAGCCAATTCAATACTACAGACTCTAACAGTTTCACTTATCGCTAGTGCCATGTCAATAATCATAATCTTAAAATCATACAGTGTTTCAACAACTAAATATTAGAGGGAATTCAACAACAACAATTGGCCATTGATAAATACAGTTTTTCATGGGATACACTCACTGTAAAACACAAACTAATGGAAATACAGTAGATGTGACGCATTTGTCATAATTCCATTCAAATCAGCGTTTCGACTTTTTTAGGTTTTAAAATACAAAAATGAATGCATGCCAAAACATGAGCACAATACAACACTGGATGTCTTACTGATCACACAGGACAAAATATACTGTAACATACATCACAACACCTCAGAATTCTGTGATTTCTTAGGCACGTACTGAATCTAAGGACAAACCGTTCTCTATAAGAACAGACGGGTTTCCCCAGAGAGAGCAAGAACTATGGGCAGTGTCTTGATGCAGCAAATCAAAGAAACAAAGCCTGTTGGTAACAACTACTACAGTATGCAAAATATCTACCTTCTCTTGACCTACTCAGTAAAAACACCAGATACCATTCAAGTTAGGAGGCATATTTTGTAGCACCTTTGGAAACATAATAACACCTTTTTTGGATCAAGTGGCATCAAAAACAAATCATGAAGTGAGTGCTGACAACTTGACTAATGCCTTGAAACAGCTGCTTACAAAGTCCTTCGCCAAGTTAGTGTCCGGATTACTCTCCAGCCGTGGAAGTGGTGCATTATTTCAAGTAGATTTCTGAAAAGAATCAAAGCTCTTGTAGTTTGTGCTACTTCACACACAATCTTCAATTTTTATCTAAATGTGAGGCACTTGCAAAACAAAAAAATATCAACTAAAACTCTCAATCATCAGTCTGTTTGTTAGACCTCTGAGCTGTCACTGAGGGCTTGTGTCATCATGGGTTCTGCGCTGCTGGAGGTCCTGGGTACATCTTTCTTCTCTCGCTTGGACCGGACCAGTAGCACCACCACAATGATGACGAGCACCGTAAGGAGCAGCCCGACAAAGATACCAATGATCAACACTAGTCTGTCATCACTGTTGTCTCTCTTGTTGAGCTCACGAGGGATGATCCCTTTGGTGAAGATCTCCCTCTCTGGGCTCGTCCTCTGCTGGCTGCTGCGGTCCAGTGCGATGTGAAGGATGTTGGTGCCACGATTGTTACTGTGACCGATCTCCTCTATTACGTCTGGCGCTCCGTTGGCCGATCTTCTGGTGCGATGCTGAACGTTTGGGTGCTGGCTCATCACGTGGTACTCCAGGCTTCTCTTCCCTATGCCACGGTTAGCATTTTCACGAGAACGAACAGTGTAGATGGTGTGAATGAACCACTCTCTCCCTGCAGATACCTGGAGAAAGCATACTCATTCAAAAAAAATATACCTGTAGATATTGCTTCCCTTCATGGGCGCATGTTCGTTGTGGTATTTTTTTTATATTAGTGTATATCTGGCCAAACATGATGCCACCTCAAACATACTGTGGGGCCAGTGCAGTTACTGTACCATAGAGTTGAAAAACAGAAACGATTTTAGCCATTGGCTGTAGACATACTGATACTGACTTTTTCTCTATAACGAGCCAAGAAATACAGACTCGCCAACCAGACGAAGCAATCTGGACTCTTGATGAAAGAGGGTCTGAGTCACATATGATCCTGTGATCAGAGGCTATATAGAGGCCAGCCCACACGGTGAGGGGACTGCTCACTCGCAATAATGTGTCCACGTCAGTGAGTCTCTTTTCTCTCGCCTTGTTAAGAAGAAAAAGAACATCTTTGAAGGTCACTTTCTGTGATTCTTATACAGTGCACATTATTTTCATCTGCTCTTTCCACTTGCACTCAGCAGAATGCCACAAGTTCACACCAGTTCTCTGAGAGCTACATTCCAGGCTGAAATAAGTGGCAACACAAAAATGTAAATTCCAGCACAAAATAACCTCTAGCGTGCATCACAGATTGGTTAAATATGAGAATGTGGACTATTCGAGGGTGTGTGCTGAATGTGTTTCTTTACTCGGCAATTACACTGACCTGGAAGAGAGCTGAGGAATCAATTCTGAAACCATCTGACGCAGGTTGTCTCACTAGAGTTAAAGCGCCGGGGTCATCCACTGCCAGGAAGGCATCGAAAGCTACATTGCCAAA